TCAAGACGCCAGAGGAGAAAGTAACTACAGATATAGTGAACAGACCAAAGGAGGAGAAGTAGACTGAAAAAGTGACTGAACTGCTGATGGTTGATACAAAAAATGTTTAACAGGTAAGAAGAGTTTTTCTTCTTTGTGGTATGAAGATTGAACCTACTCACTGCTGACTACAGGCTTGTCTTTTGGATTTTGTTTTGTTTCTTGTTTTTTGTTTTTGAAAGAGTCTAAAACTGGCATGGTGGCATAGCCTCCTGAGTAGCTAAGATTACAGGTACACAACACCATACCCAGCCAATAAATTACTTTTTAACTAAGGTATATGTTATAGCTTGCATCTAGATGTCCCCTCAAAGCCTCACGCAGTCATAGGAGGGGTTTTTTGGAAGTGGCTGGATCTAGAGTGTTGATGGATCACAGATGTGAGGAATGATTCATGGTGAGATGCTAGGATCTCCACCCTGGGTGTGAATGATGCCCACCTTAAGGATGGATAGGCTGCTTAGGATACAAGGGACAGAAAGTTGCTACTTCTTATCATTTGCTACTTGGCTGCTTTGCTGGCCTCATACTGCCAGGAACTCTTTCTCCTTTGCAATACCCCTGTCAAACCTCCCTGCCTTGAAGCCAGCCGATTACAGACCTCTACAAAATGTGAGCTAAATAAATCTTTCCTGCTTTAACTTTAGGTGTTCAATATTTTGTCTCTGCAACCAGAAAGGTAACTAAAACAGTATGTACATTGTTTTTTTAGATATAATGTATGGCAAGCCTAATATACAACAACATAATGTAAACATAACTTCCTATGCACCGAAAAATCAAAAAATTCCTGTGACTCACTTTATTTCAATTTTCTCTTCGTTACAGTGACCTAGAACTCTCTTAGTGAGGACTTCTCAGCTTGCAGGCAGAAAATCAAAACTATTAGATCTCTGAGGTATACCTGTATTTAATCACTCCTTTACTATGAAAATTCAGAATTCCCCCAAAATTCTGTTGAGGGAATGTGGGTATAAATAACCCTCAAGTGCACAATGCAGTGTACCTGAGAGTTTATGTGTCTCCAACCCCGCCACATTCCCAAATTACTATGTTGAATTCTAAGCCCAAGGTGATGTGATTAGGGCACAAGGGCACTCCACAGCTGGGCTTAGTGCCCTCACAGGAGACCCCAAGCACTCCCTTATTCTCTACCATGTGAGCACATACTAAGGAGACACAACAAGGGCCCTTGCTAGACACTGACTCTGCCCACAACTTGAGATCGGATCCCAGCTTCCACAACTGTGACCAAAAAATTCCTGGTGTTTGCTGGCTGGTTGTAGTGGCGCCCAGCGAGCAGAGGGCTGAGGCAAGAGGATTATTTCCAGTTCAAGACTAGCCTAGACTACAAAATGAGTTCAAGGCCAGCTTGAACTGCATAGCAAAACTCTGTCTCAAAACGAAAAAAAATTTTAAAACTTCTGGTGTTTGTACCTAAGCTGTGATGTTTTGCTGCAGTAGCCTAAACAAAGACAACTACATCTATATTCAATCTCCGTCCTCCTATGTGATTATTTTAATGAGAAACTGCACACAGAAAGAACTCCAGAAAACTGCTTAGGGTTCCCTTGAGTCTAGCTGGATGCACTTCGCACGCAGGTAGAGTGTCACTCCACGCACCAGGGAAGAAGCTCCTAGGATGCAAACCTGAGCACACACAGGGCAAAGATGGGCCAGTTCTCCACCAGCCAGGATAGGCAGGCCTCACTGGACACCCTTAGCAGGCATGTCCAACCCAGCAGCTCATGCATGCGGCTCTGGATAACACGGCATGCAGACCTGCAAGGCTCTAAACTTTTACCCTGATATAAATTTAGCATAGCCTTTCATGACCCGATGCTGCAGTGCTCCAGTACCAACACATTAGGCAACTGCACACTGTGGGGAAGTCATGCCGCAGCGCTAACTATGCCTTCTGAGCCAGGAACAGTTGGTGGGACCAAAATCCACATGTAACACATCAATTGATGTCCCATCATGCACTTGTGTGACTTTGGGACTAAAACACAGCAATGACCAGTAAACATATTTCAACCCACCTATACATGCGTGGGTTTACAAAGAGAAAGTTATTATTACATGTTATAACATGTAAGTTTTCTTATTTGTTAAATTTGAGCTTATGTTGTTTCATAAAATAATAAGCCCAGCATGGTGGCAGAAGCCTATAATCCCAACACTTGGAAGGCTGAAACTGGAGATTATCACAAATTCAGGGTCAGCTCAAGCTACATAGTGAGTTCAAGGGCTGCTTGAAGTACATGAGATCCTGTCTCAAAAAACAAAATAACCAAATAGATTAATAAAATAGTAAGTTTATATATAAAAAGGAACTTTTGTTACTTATACACATTAACAACACTATAAACTTTAGATGCACCCTTCCTCACTTAATACAGCCCAGGAAAGACAAAAGGGTTCAAAAACCCTTGAGAATTCAGAGAACATCTAAAAAGGTCATGTGTCAGAAGCAAGGCTAAACTAGCCCAAAAATAAATAACACCATGGACACATATTAGCAAAACTTAAAAACAAGTTTCTGAAAGGTGAGGCTGACCTGCAAACTAACTTTGGCAATAAAATAAAATTCTTTGAAGGAAGAAAACAAAATCCAAAGACTCAACACAAAATATATATAATATGTCTAATACCCAATCAAAAGTTACAAGACACATAAAAAAGCACAAAATCAGAATACAATTCAATGAACAAAAACAAACCAAAAAATGACAGAAAATGGAATCAGCAGATAAAGACTTTAAATAAATATAGATGAATACAAGGATTTAAAGGGAAGTTACAAAGGCAGAAATCAAAGTCATTAAAAAAATTAAAGGAACTTGCAGAGCTGAAAAAGTATCTGAAACAAAAAATCTACTGGATGAATATGAAGATTAGATACTAAACAAAGAAAGATAGTAAACTTGAAGACAGGACCCTAGAAACTATCCCAAAGGAAACACAAAGAGAAAAGATCCTATAAACACAAAATTGCCAGAGCAAACCAAAAAGGACTGAAACTAATGATAAAGGGAGCACTGGAAAGCTGCCAGAGGTGGGTGTGGGTTTCTTTTTTTTTCTTTTTTTTTTTTTTTTTTTTTTCCAAGAATATACAGTGTGGGGCTGGCGAGTTAGCTCAGTGGCATAAGCGCCTGCCTTGCAAGCAGGCAGTGAGTTCGATCCCTGGTACCGATAAAAAGGAAAAAGACAAAAAAAAAAGAATATACAGTGACTCCCAAGGTGTGGGGGTTTTATCACACACAGAGAATCTTGACAAACTTATCAGAAGCAACACAAGTCAGACAACAACAGCATGACATTCTCTAAAATAGGGGGAAAAAGCATCAACCTGAAATTCTACACACAGAAAAAACATCCTTGGAAATAATGCTGAAATAAAGACCTTTTCAGACAACAAAAGCTGAAAGAATTTCTCACCAGCAGGTCTGTTCCATATGAAATACCAGATCTGTTGCTCTACCTTATACCTTCCTCTACTTTCAGATCCCAAAAGCTTATTTCACTACCTTTCCTTTCAGAATCCCATACTCAAGACCTTCTTCCCTCTCCACGAACTTGATTTACCCATACCCAACAACTGTCTTCTCTGAACTCCATTATTTAGCTGGACCTTTAAGACTGCTGTCAGAACTCATCTGAGCATTTACAAAACTTATTTTCCCCCATTTTTTTTTCTTTCTTCTTGTTTGGTCTTTTTGAGATAGGGTTTCACTATGCAGTTCAGGCTGGCCTTTAACTCACTTGTAGCCCAGGCTGGTCCTGAACTCACAGCAATCCTTCTGCCTCAGCCTTTCAAGTACACCACCATGTCGAGCCCCTACTCTTTATTTTATAAGTCATTCTAAATTGTTCACTTGACTTAATTAACTGGGAATAAGACTCCGTGAAAACAGCTCACACAGTGAAAGGAGAAGAACAGAAGGGAAGTAGTGGGCTGAAGATGTCAACCCACCAAAAAAGAATGCAGATTTTCCAAGAAGCAGATCCCAGGACAATTGTGCTGCAGACACTGCTAGCTCCTCCAGCTCCAACTGCAAGGAGAACAGTGTGACCCCTGCAGAGCACCCGGGAAACATGTTCTGAAAGTGAGTACAAGCATAGAACAGCTCTTGAGTCAGAGAAACCCTGTGTCCTAATCTAGCTCAGCCATTCAATAGCTATCTGACCTCTGGCTTATGTAAAATACACAAGAGGTCAGGTATGACACTGCATGCCTGTAATCCCAGTATTTGGGAGGCTGAGACAGGAAGACCACCATGAGTTTAAGGCCAACCTGGAATATACAGAATGACCTTATTTAAAAAAAAAACAAAAACAGGGGCCAGGGATATAGCTCAGCAGCGCAGCACCTGCCTGGCAATCGTGAGGTCATAAATTTGATTTCCAGTATCAAAAAAATTAAATAAATAAATTCCATAAAAACCCTATGAGTCAGGCACTATGAGGATCACAGAAAAAGTTTTATTTGCCTAAGTCACTGCATGCAGGAAGTACCAGAAGCAGGATATGAACCCAGGGCTCTGCAGGTACATATAATACAATGGACAACATGGGCACACACCCTAGCAGTATTCCTGCAGGAAGAACATAAAAAATTACGATGCTATGCACAAGGCCCTTCTGGCATCAAAAAAACAAGAAAATGGAGGTACTGAAACCCTTATACACAAACAATGTGAGGTCTTTGTTGGGGGGGGGGCCTCATTTTGGCTCTGGCCCTCCACTGGCTGCACAGATTATTACTATGCCTCATAGCAAGAAAAAGCAAGAAGTCAGAAGCCAACTGAGCCCCAATCCTATTAACTGAAGGACTGCACCTTACAAAGAAAATGCTAAGATAAAAAATGGGTGTTGCATGAAATGAGACCAATTATAAACAAATTCAACCACCAGATGTCAGGGGAGAGACATGACAACTGCACAGGAACAGTTCTTACCTGGGGAGCTCTGGGGGTTCTGGGGGGACTTCAGCAGCACTGGCGATAGCTCCTGAGGCTTCCACTTCCTCTGAGTCCTGGGTACCCTCCTGCTCAGCCACCTGCGAGCCCAGCGGCTGTGCCTTCTCCACCACCTGAAGCCCAGTAGACTCCATGACAGAGTCAATCTCTATTTCTTGAACTGGGACTGGGACTGGTTCCTTCTCAGCAGTGGCAGTCCCCACAGCCTTGGCCTCTTCTTCTTCCTTTTTTCTGATTTTCTCTTCAAGTTCTTTCCTCTTCTTTTCATCATCTTGACGTGCCATGTGATCAAAGGTTTTGAACACCTAAAATCAAACAGCAATCCAGCAATCAATTCACACATTCTTGAGAAATGTAGAATCTGGTAAGCACAGAATTAAAACATAGTGAACAACAGCAAAGAAACTTTGGCAAAATGGAAATGCACTACAACTTTACTGAAAGGTGACAGGAAAACCTTCTGTAGAAAAGTTCCAAATCAAAAACAAGGCTAACAATATTTCCATACCAAGGACACACAGCTAGACAGTCTTAACTGTCATCATGTTTACAGGCCCAATCTTGCTCACAGTGCAAACACTACACTGCCTCGGCACCATGGGCTTGTGAAGGTACCAACAACTCAGAATCAAAAATGAAAGGTGAAGACATAGTTGAACTTCAATCCATGAAATGCACCCCAGCTTCTCAGGTGGCTGCTGCCCTTCCCACACTGTGAAGGTGAATGGGAACCTAGAGCATTTAATCCCCGAAGTGTCTACCAGGCATCAATAGTGTGCAGGGAACACAGACCCCAAAGCGACAGCTGTGCCTTCTAAGAACCTGACAGTCTGGTGTGTGGACAAGTCTCCCAGCCTCTTCTGGGACATGGTGATACCCGGGAAGATCCTAGGACCTCTTTACCAAAAAAATACAGTCAAGACAGACCCATACATGACAACTCTGAGACAAGAGGGAAGTGATGGAGCCCTTGGTGTCCTGCCAGCCACAGGTGGGAATGACCATTCTGTAGTGAAAGAAATCTAGAGGAAGAAGGAAGGGGATTCAGGCAGACTCAAGAGGTACAGCCTTCACAGGGACCCTTGGAGAAACCAACCACTGGAGGAACCCACAGTGCCAACAAGTAGACTGACCAAGAATCAGCAAGATACAGCCCAGCGTGGTGGCGCACACCTGTAATCTCAGCACTCAGGAGACTAAAGCAAAAGGGTCACTGTGAGTTCAAGGCCAGCCTGAACTATATATATATATAGTGAGACTGAAATATATATATATATATATGTGTATATATATATATATATATAGTGTATATATATAGCAAGACCCTACCTAAGAAAGAAAGAAAAAAAGCAACCAACCAACCAACCAAGAAAGAGCATCGGGCGAGCAGGCAGCAGAAACACCTGCAGTAGCTGGAAGAAGGCCAGGCTGGGAGGTCAATCCCTAAGGGACCGGGTGGGAGGGCTAGGCTGCAGCAGGTATCCAACAAGAAAAGGGAACCAAAGATGGGTGCTGACACACAAACTGTGCCAAATGCTTCTATAAACAGTCTCAATCTCCCCCTCACACAAGAATTCTGTGGAAAAGACAGCATCAACACTGCAAAGATGAGAAAAAACAAGGCTTGGAAAGGTTAGGTAATTTGCCAACAGTGCTGTCAAGAGAAAGAAAACAGCAAAACTTACATCAGACACAGCATGGAGTGAATTTAAAGAGTGAAAGGCGACACAAGTAAGGGAAAATAGAGTCCACGAAGGTTAAAACCTGGAAACTCCAGGTCCATTTCAGCACCGAAGACAACCTGAAGCCTCTAACTTGTTTGTTACCCACATCCAAGCACAGCCACTCCACCCCGCCCAGGCCCCAGAGCTGCATCTTCAAATGAGGCTCCTTCACCAGATTTTACTAAGCAGCACTTCTCAAACTGGACTTCAGGAAAAAGAGCTGTCAACTGTAACAAGCAACACCTCAATCTAACTGACTCTCCATTAAAATGCACTGCAGTAGGGCTGGGGATTTGGCTCAGCGGCATAGGTGCCTGTCTTGCAAGCAGGCAGTTGTGAGTTCGATCCCTGGTACCAATAAAAAGGAAAAAGACAAAAAAAAAAAAAAAAATGCACTGCAGTAGCATATGCTCCACTGTTGTCCCCCATTGACATGTTCTGAATTTTGTTTAATATTTTTCTTTTTTTTCTCTCTTTGAAATAGATTTAAAAAAGAAAAGATGGAGGGTGGGGGATTTAGCTCAGCGGCATAGCGCCTGGCTGGCAAGCACTAGGTCGTGAGTTCAATCCCCAGTACCAAAAAAAAAAAAAAAAAATGGACAAGACAAATCTCAAAAGCAAAGAAAAAAAAAAAATACACTGCAATATTACAGAATGAGATGCAATGTCACACACATCAATCCTGCTGATGGCCTGTCACACTGCACAGGCAGACTGTGTGAGCCCCAGAACCAGCAGACACTGACTACACCAACGTCCACCACACAAGATACTAGGGTGAACCTTTCCAGCTCCAGAAAGCAACAGCCCAACCCTCCAATCAAGCCCTCTCTGCTGGTGTTTGGAGACCCCATGTATCCTCTCTCAAGTAAGGGGGCCACAGGAAGAGAAGTCTTATGCCATGTAATCAGGAATAGAAAAAAACCCTAAGTGGCAGAAGAGTAGGCATGGGAGGTGGGGGTCAGGAAATGACCCACCCCCACCAAGAGATAATACTGTGGCAGCATCAAGTCCCTAGTTTGATGTCCCAACCCACAACAAAACCTTTGCCAATACTGAAATCAACTTACAAGCCTCCTCACAAATGACTGTCTATGACTAGCAAAGCAGGTTCCTAGGAATCTCCCAGACCTACCAAGGACTATGCTTTCATATATTTAGTAGGACTGTGCTTTTAAAAGTTCCCTGGGCAGGTTGCCCACAATGGCACCTATCTATAACTTCAGTACTCAAGAGGCTGAGGCAGCCAGAGGATACTGAAAGTTCAAGGCCACTCTGAAAACCTGTATGGTTGATACACTGTGTCAACTTGAGGAGTCTAGAAGTTAAACTATATGACTCAGCAGGGGGCCAGGGGCCTCCATTTGTAAATATTCTCATCCTGTGCAAGAGGAGGGCACAGAGATTTGTAGCCTGCTTACAATTCAAGGGAGGAAAAGAGGCTTGCTCTCCCCTCCTGCTCTTGCCGCTTTTGCTGTCTTCTGTCACCTTGACATCTACGCCACACCACCTTACCTTGGAGCCAGTTGACTGAAACCTCCACACAAACTGTGAGCTAAATAAGCGTTTCCTCCCTTCATTTAGAGAGAAAAGTAACCAATACAACTACCTGTGACCCTTTCTATAAATAAATACATACATGCATGCCTATATACATACTAAACATCTTCCCCAAACACAGATGGCAGCTTAGTTAACCTACGATCATTATTCCAATCACCCTATAACAGGCAACAGAGTTAGACAGAAACATAGGTAGTTAAACAAGGCTGAATCTTCAAAGGAGCTAGTGCAGAAGGCCAGATACTTTGCAGCTGTAGGATAGACAGACACCTCTGCTGTGGGCCAGATCTCAAGACAAAAGATAAATCAAATGCAAGCACATACTTCCTACAGATAAGCATCAGGAAATAATAATCTATCTAAGTAGGTCTGTATCACCCTGAGGAAGCCAGGAGTCACCATCCCAATTCCCTACAGGAAGAGTCACTGTTCTTTTATGCATGCCTGCTTGTTATGTGACTCGCTTCCCCATTTGTCCCCGATTTAATCAATTTTACCTGAGCAATTAATCTTACTGGTTGGCCATAATTCTGTCCCACCTTGTGCCTACCCACCTTGTGAATTCCCATTGTTCCCAACTTAGACTCCCCTCACTTTGTGGTTTTATCTACAGAAGTCCTTAGAAAAGAGTCTTTGACAACCCACTCAGGACCCCTTCTGTCTGTCAGAGTCTTCTCTCAATAGATATATTCTGCTCTTAATTTCCATTGTTCCTAAAATTCATTCTTTGATTTTAGAGAACAGGGACTCATACTGCATGTATAACATGTTGGAAGTTTCTTTCCCCTGTATCAACCCAAGTTTGAAAATGTGTGTCCTCTTTGAGTCATTCTTCCCCTTCCTCTGCCCTGCTCCCCAAAAGAGCTTATCCTAGAAGGAGTAACTTAACTTTTAGGAAGTGTTTTATAAAGAGTTGCCAAATAAATGAACACACTACCTCTGTCAGTTCACTTGTAAAACAGAGACTGAGACCAACCTCTCAGGATGTATTCAGGTTAAGATTATACCTGAATAAAACATTTTCCAAAGCACAGTGTTGTACAGTATAGTGCTGTAACACTCTTAAAAATGTTCCCTTCTCCTCCTCATTTTTCTGCAAGCTACAATCATCCTAGACAAAAGTTAAATTGCACCCCACAATGTAGCAGTTACATGTGAGAACAGAAAGATTAGTAATCAGAAAAATGAAGTTTTGAGTTCTGGACACGATGAACTGGCTCTGTGGTTTTGGCACAACATTTAACCTTGCTGAAAAGGCACATAAAACTTCACCTTATCTACCTCGCAGAGACACTGCGAACATCGAGCAGCAAGAGCGCATCCACGTGCAGTACAAGCCTGAAAAACACCACCTCTGATGGCTCTCTGATCACTCACATGGCGCCTGAGCCACTGACAGAGATGGAGCAGCCCGCAGTTCTGAGGCTGGACTGGTGGAGCCCCATGTCTACCCCTCCTCCGGCTGTCATTTTGCTGGTAGTTACTGAACTATTCTAAACTTCGGTCGCTTCCTGTGGGTACTAAGTAGAATAAACCCGCCTATAATGACACTTCAGCGGGTAACATGAAGCACTTTACAGGTGCCAGGGTACAGCAAGAAGTATCACCAGCATTTCTGTCTTCTCAGGTTCCTACAAACAGCCTCAGAGCTCAACTGAATACTTTCTTTCAATGTCATCAGAATCCCACCCCTCCCACGAAACTTTCTCAATTTTTCAGCTATCGTATCTATTCCTTTCCTTCCAACCCACTCGCTCTATCACGTAAGTGGTCCTACAGAGTTCTGTTGCCTTCTCTGTTTTATTTCCTTTAACTGTAAGTGTCGAGAGTAGACAGACCGTTATTTAAACACCCACATCACCCTGTGGCAGGTGAAAAGAATGCTTATAACTAAATTCCAAAGTACCCAGTCAACTTCATTCAGTAAGTATTAATAGCACTTCAAACACAGAAAAACTTAACCGGGGACGCATAGATTTACATCCGAACGGAAATTTAATCACCGCCACCAGGTCTCCCCTGGATCTGCGAAGTCACAGCGGAAGGCGCGGCCACACCCACCGCCCGGCACAAAGCCTCGGCCAGCCAGGCACCTCCGGAGCCAGGCAGCCCCACGGGCCCAGGCGTCAGCCTTGGGGACGCCCCTCCGCTCCTCCATCAGCCCCCGGCCCGGACCCTGACGGCGGCCCCCGTGAGTTCGGCACAGGGCCCGGCTGCCCCCGCGACCGAGCTGCGGGATGTCTGGTCGCGCTTCCCAGCACATGCAGCGACTTGCGCGGGGTCACCACTGCGCCTCTGGGGGACGCGGGCGTGCGGGGTCCAGGCGCTGAGGGGCCGAGGCGGGGCCGCGGCCGGGACCCCCATCTTGCCTCACCTGCAGTACCAGGGCCTGCGCGGCGCCGGGAGGGAACCCCATGCGGTCCGTTGGGTGGCGCAGCAGGCGATAGAAGTCGGTCTTTCGGTAGAGGAACCCGAAGAGCACACGCAGGAAGTCCTGGACGTTGCCCACATGCTGCAGGATGCCCAGCAGGGCCTGGTCGTACAGCTCCGCAGCTCCGGGCTCCATATCGCCGCCGCTGAGGGGACGCGCACACCGCGGGTACCTTCTCACACCCGCCGACTCGCCACTTCCGGCGTCTACATCTAACGGATCCCCCCAGACATCGAGGCCGCGGAACTTCCGGTCCGCGCCTATTCAGCCTTGCTGCCCCGGGCTGTTTTCTTGAGACCCCGCTACCCCGCGGGGTCTTCCCTTCAGCAGCTCTAGCTAAAAAATACCAACATGGGGCCGAGGTGGCACTTACGCGCAAGTAGGCCGGTGCTGTAGTTGCTGTGAGGAGCGCACCTGGCAGCCATGCTTGAAATGGGCGGAAGGATCTTGATGAGAGCAAGGTCATGTGATAAGCATCTTGCCTACGTACTGTCAAAGTATAGTCTTGTAAAAGTTTTTCCAGAGGCTGGTCCGAGTGCAGTGGTGTTTACAACTAATTGATCACAACCAGTTACAGATTTCTTTGTTCCTTCTCTACTCCCACTGCTTCACTTGACTAGCCTAAAAAAAAAAAAAAGTTTTACCAGAGTTAGACTAACCCTGATTCCAAGAAAATTTCGAGAAACTGGACATTTATAGATATGTTAAGAAAACAGAGTAAGATCGCTAGGTTGGATACTAAGCAGATTGGTGTTATACAGTATGATAAAACTATAGGTTATCTTTTCGAGTGGACAAAAATGACGTACCTGTATTGGACCAAAATCTGCAAGTTAATATATCTCCATAATGTAAAGGCTCTAGTGAACTTTAAAAGACATTAAACTGAGGTAGATTGCCCTACGTGAGCGGTTGTGAAAACTTTCTCGTTTTAAGACACATTTATGCTCTAATCTGGTAAGGATTCCATAGAACTTTTATTTGGTTCTGTTTATCCGTATTTAAAATTAAAGGGCCGGAGATACAGCTCAATGGCATAAATACCTGCCTGGCAAATGCAAGGTTGTGGTACCACCACCTCCCAAAATTAAATACTATGTAAACTTAATTAATTGAACACTGTATAAATGCTGTTTATATACAATATTTTGGAAATTAAAACTTACAAAATTTTGAAATAGCTACAAAACACATCACATGTTACATACTTTTATTTAAAATGATCTTTGAAACAAAGTAGAATAGCATAGTTTTACATTTTTGCAAATCTCTTTTTTTGGTTTGGTTTGGTTTGGTTTAGGTTTTTTGAGAGGAGGTCTTGCTTTGTAGTTTAGACTGGGCTTGAACTCCCTATATAGCCCAGGGTGGCTTCAAACTTGAGGTTATCCTCCTGCCTCAATCTCCTAAGTGCTGGGATTACAAGTGTGTGCCATCATACCCAGCCTGAAATTCTCTTTAATGTCTATGTCTTTAATGTCTCTTTAATGTCTAATGTTTATAGATAACAGCAAGATCCTCACATCTGCTTCTGCACTGTTCCTTTGCAATATGTTGCTTTAATCGAAGAATACAAACATCCCAGTCTCACACAGATCATTAAGAATGAGACTGCTTTGTCTTTTTTTTTTTTTTGACTGTTTTGTCTTTTCAAAATGAAACTGGCAAGATTTTTCCAGAAATGGAAGGCAGTGAGGAATGTAAAGCTACAGTACTTATTAATGGAGTTTGGTACCTAATTAAAAAAAAAGTGTGTCCCCCAAAATTCATATATCATAGCCATATCCCCACTATGACTGTATTTGGAGATGGGGGTGTTAAAAGGTAAAGTCAAACTGGTTATGAGAGTAGGACCCTACCTCTGAAGAACTAATATTTTTATAAGAGGAAGAGTTGGACATAAGGTCACACACCTATAATCCTGCCGTGAATGAAGTGAGGCAGGACAGTCATGAGTTTGAGGTCCTTGAGGAGGAGAACCAGATTGGAGAGGAAAAAGAGACCCTAGAAACTTCACTGTGCACACACAGAGAAAGAAACACAGTATGTAAAGACACAATGAGATTGCCACACACCACATACCAATCCTGAAAGCCCCCTGATGCTGGACTTCTAGCCTCTAGAACTGTTAAGTGAATTCATTCTGTAAATCCACTTCATCTTTGCTGCTTTTTGCAACAGTTCCAGCAGGCTAGTGCCACGGCCTTGATCTTGTTGACACTGCAGTATTACCCAACATTGCCTTTGCATTATTACTACAAATGCCAACATAATAAAAAGGCAGATAACATCACAATGTTATTTTTACCTTGAGACACTCTTATGCTTTGTGTTTGGATGGTCCCCCCCAAGCCTCATTCAATCATGGAGGCAGCTAAATCTAGTTTGTGATTGGTTTATTGTCTAGCACTGGGATTGGCAGTATGAGCACTGTACCTGCCCAAGGGTGGGGAGCTATCATACAATATAAGAGAGAGAGAAGGAGGCATGCTTCCTTCCTTTGCCATTTTGCTCTTGTTCACCACCATGAACAGTTGTACCTCAGCCATGCCCCCTGCCACCCTCAGTATGAAACCTCCAAAAAAAATTGTAAGCTAAATAAACCTTCCCTTCCCTAATTTTGGGCATCAAGTATTTTGTCTCAACAATGAGAAAAAAGTAACCAAGACAGACATCCTTGATAGCATAGATCTGCAGTGCCAGAACTCAGGAGGCTTAGCCAGGAGATTGCTTGAAGTTGGAGGGCAGCCTGGGTTGCATTACCCTGGCAAGGTATGAGGGAATTAATCTGATCTAGGAGTGTCCAGTGTGCACTAGCAGGGGGCAAGGTGCAAGGGCTGGGATAAGCAACATGAAAAAACACAAAAATCAAGGGGAATAGTTATGGAGCAACCCAGTGAATGATGTCCTCAGGCTTCAGCTGTGCATGGTCTGGTCAGCACCCAGAGTGACCAGAACAGGGCTTTAAGTGAATCATTTCTTCAGAGTGAGCCTCAGAGGAGCAGTCCAGGTAAATTTTCTAGATCTAAGGCTGGATTTCTGAAACTTATAGAGATAGTTAATATGTTCCTGGGTTATATAGGTGTGCAGGTATGTATATAGATATAGCTGGTCTTTTAACTGGTCATAAGCTACATGTAGTTTTTATTTAAATCTTGTTTTTGAGTTACCTCTGTCATAAATGCAGGCTCATTATCACTGCCATTGATCAAAGATAGGTCATATCTAAGGATGATTTTTTTAGAGCAGAACCCTACAAACTTTTATTGTCTTTTCACTATGAGTAGGGAATGTAAGGTTAGTGTCAGTGACAAAGATATTGAAGCCTGACCTGGATACAGGGTTATGGGTGCCAGTGCAGTGGCTTGAGCTTGCAGGACACATATAGGGGGCAGGTCTGATGGCTGGGGTTGATGTTTTGGTCTATCGGATCTGCAAGGAGGAGTTAGGTTTCTGAACCAGATTATTTTGATTCATTGGTAGAAGATTTCCAGAGAGCAGCGGGCAGCAGTTTGCTGTGCATGGGCAAGAGAGTATTGGCTAAAAGAGTTTTGTTCAAGATGACCACAGCATACCTAGCCTATTGGACTTAATCCTAACAGAACTACTTTCATTTAGAAGCAGGGTGTCCTTAGCACCCTTTGGGGGATCAATTTTGTAGAACAGTTCATCCCAGTACAGCATGTAGCACCTGGACAGTTAGTTAGGTCTCAGCCTTAGGTAAGCACCTTGTCAGCTTTCTTGACCTGAAGGACAGTGGCCATTAGAGCACAGAATCAGGTTGGGGAGGGACAGGTCCTTAGTGACCAGATTTGTACAGGTAGATCACTGGGCGCTCCCAGTGATTGACAGTTTGAATAAACATCACTGTTTTTGTGAACTCAAAGATCCAGATTCCATAGAAACCAGACGCTCCAATAAATTTGTGGAGTTTCTTTCTTGAAAACAATTACTGCCAGATATTGTAGCAGAGCTTTAGTGTCTGGTCAGCAGAAAGCATGAGTGTCACTAATCAGAAGTGCTTTTTCAAAGAAGAAACAAGTTTTTGAATTTCTGGGAGGTTGAATACAGGTTGGTTGGCTTTTGAGTTAAGAACTTGGGTTTTCCCATTTAAAATCAAAAAGGATCTGGCTGATAGGAGCCAGTCAAAGGCAGGAGAAGGCATTCTCTAGGTTCAGACAGGTTTACCAGCAGGCTATCAGTGGCAGACGACTGAGGCAAAATATACTGAGGGCAGTCGTGGCAGTATTGGCAGGTCAGAGATCTTGAACTGACTTTATAGGCAGGAGAGGTGTATTTTAGCAGTTGGAAAATCTGTATTGTTTGCTTGGGGAGCTGTGACAGAAATCTGTCATCAGAGCCTCCCTGAAAATAGTAGGAGGATTTTTAACTCCAAATGGCATTGAGTCCAAGTGAGCTAACGTTTTACCTCAGGATTTTCCCAGTGGAAGGGGCTTTTAGGAGCAACTTGCAAGCAGAGGAAGGCATCTTTTAAATCTAGAACAGTCCAAAAAGGTGCATGGGTTGGGAACTATAGAGTGCAAGGTAATGGCTGCATTGTTGATGGTACAAAGATCTTGCCCAAGGTGATTAACAGTCTGTCAGGCTGTGTAGCTGGATGTCTGTTTCTGCTTCTTGTGACCGCCTAAAGCAACAGGGATCACAATAAGGTGGCATGATAGATAGCCAGGCCCAGAGGTGAGTCTTTATTCCTCTGGGAGGAGAGTTTTCAGACCTTCAGCATTATGCTTATCTGTCTCAGGCTGATGTAGGCAGGCATCATCTTTCTCTCAGGGAATAGTCAAAGTTGAAAGTGTATCATTAAATGAAGCTGACTGGCTTGGTGTGAAGGAGATGTTCTCCCAGGCTGCAAGTTTGTGCCTGGCAGAAGGGGTGAGAGGCAAGAAACTCAGTTTCCCTGGTGATGGTAACTTTTTTACAGAGGAAACTTTTGAAGGCAGAGAGTTCTGTTTCATTGTCTACCAGGGATGTCACAAGTTTGCCCTTAACTTTTGCAAAGATCGTAGGCTCCTGGGGGCCTAATTTTTTATGGGTACCAGGGATCAAACTCAGGACCACATGCTTGCAAGGCAGGCACTTATGCCACTGAGCTAAATCCTGAGCCTTGGGGGCCTAATTTAATAGAGCTTGAACTGTCCTAGCTAGTCGGGCCTGACATGGTGCACTCATTTGTCAGGGCTGATGGTCCAATTTTTCCTCAGTCAAAATGTAGAACTCAGAAGGAATTGTTGATAGTTTTCTCCAGTAGATGTTAGATGACACTATCTGACCAGAGTAGGCATGTCTATGGTGGGGCCTGTGTGGCCAAATGAAGGCAATGGCTGGCTGGAACCAGTTCAATTGGCTGGAAGTAGAAAAGTTGCAAGCAGGAAATGAAGCTATGTGTTGGAAGCCACTGCAGTGGCCAATGCAAGTGCCAAGATGGGATTCTCAGGAAGCACAGGTCTCTTTTCTTTTTTCTCTCTGTGATGCACAGAGTGGTTTGGCTTTATTTTTAACTCCATAAAAGCCCTTTTCCTGCAGTCAAGTAGTGTGGGTTTTGCTTAGTGGCCATCTCTGACTTCCTATGTGTGTGTTTTGTACCCCTGAACAATGGTACAACACACAAAGGGTGGGTGTCCCTTCATAAGAGAGATCATTCAGATGCCTGCCTGGCTGCACCCCTCATGGAGACTTAGGCACAAGTTAGCTAAGGAGGGTGTGAGGCCTTCATTATGCCATATATTGACCACCACAGAACTGCAGATAAGGACCCAATCAGCCACTGTGATCAGTGCTTCCCAGTCTTGGTGCACAGATGGAACAGCCTATTGCTTATGGTGTCCATGCCACTCACTCACACAATCATTCAGCAGGTAGTCATTCCAATCCCCCTTCCCTTGAGGGTGGCCTTAACAAGAATTGATCAAGCTCTTCTTCTGTTCAAACTGAGCAGGACTGACAGACTGACTAATTGGGGTGCTGCCAGGGATATTATGGAAATCATGCAGGAAGACAGTGTCCTTCTTCCTTTGGGGTCTGATGTGAGCCAATCAAGTGGGGAGCCAGTACTCCTCTTCCAGACTTCCAAGGAGACTCTAGAAATATCAAGGGTGTGCCTTCCCACTGGAACCTGGAGAGGCCCTTGCTCTGTGTGAGAGGGCCACAGCAAGTAAGCAAAGAGGTCACCACAGTTCGTCTTCCCAGCCAATGCACCAAATGCAACAGCCAGCAGAAACACCAAAATACTACCCAGGATTTGGAGGCAGATTTATTTACATTGACAGGCACCGATCAGGGCCATTCTCAGAATATCAGGCCCTGGTCTCTGGTGGTCTAGGGCTTATATGGGATAAGCAAGCAGGAAGTACAGAGGCAGCATGGCTTGTCAATTGGAGGTTGGTTTATGCAATGTGCATCATAGTGACCAGCTATGCATCACAGTGATCAGCTGTTTCTAGGGGACAGAAGCAACCAGAACTGGAATAGGAACTGTTACCTGGGCAACTAAGAAACTCAAGTATACTGACTGGGGAGCCATTTTCTATTACATAAGGCTAGCCTGGACTACAATAGGGAAACTTTGTCTCAAAAAAATTGACAAAAAAAGTGTTATGAGAGAGTCAGGCATTCTGGCACATGATTATAATCCCAGCATTCAAGAAGCTGAGACACTATAGCAAATTCCAGCCAGCCCAGGAATGCACAGTTCAGACTGGCCTAGACTACAAAGAAACACCCTGTTTCAAAAAGAAAGAAAAGAAACAAGCCAAATACAGTAGTCATTTACAGTGAGTTCCTCCCTCCTGGATCCACCTTTCGGTTCTCCTCACTTCACTGGTTGTGCCCAGGAATAGAGTTATGCCACCCCTGCCCCAAACAACTCCCTCATCCTGTGCCACCACCACTGTTGGTGATCCTCCTGCCCAGCCTCTTGAGTGCTGGGATTACAGAGATGCACCAACACACCTGACTCCAGAATGGAGACTTTCTGACAAGAGACATAAAAGAAGGAAGAATTGGGTGAGAAGCGGGCACCCGTGAAGGAGTCTGAGCCCTGAATAAACATGGAGTATATCTAGCCAGAGGCTCTGAGACTGGCCTGGAAGGAGAAGGCCATCTCAGCTGACCGAGGCCTGAAGGACACAAGGCAGCACCACAGTGCTGCTGGACAGGCTCATGGCCAGTGTGATGGTCACCTTCCTGGAACAGGGTTTCCCATGCCCTGAGGAGTGGGTAGAGGAAGGGCCCCCCAACAGGGAAGACCGGTGGCCCTCGGTGCAGAGCCAGGCAAGGCTGGCCCATCAGCGCTCCCATCCATTCCTGGGCACAGGCCACAGTTGGCACCAGCTACCATGACAGGGCCATCAAAGCTGTGGTTGACACAGGTGTTGGTGGCAGCACTGGGAGCCAGGGGCTACTTCTAGAAGGAGGCCTTGGGGGCTGTGGCCACCCTCTGCATGCACTCTTTCTCCAGCGCTAGAGCTGAGTTGACATCAGGCCCTGCAAAGAGACAGGAGAGAAGCCTACAGTTAGGGAGGCACGCAGCGGTGCAGGGTACGGTGCAGAGCCAGTTAGGGAGGACAGCAGAGAGCAGGCTGAGCCCCATTCTCACCTGTGCCTCCGGCAAGTCACTGAAGCTGACATCTACTCGAGGAGTCCTGAGACCAAGCTGTGCTTTCTTCCAGAAAACCCAAGCTAACACCACAGCCACCCTCCTCCACCTTCTGGCTGCCACTACCTGTGCCACCCTGGTCCTGGCGCGGCTCCCATGCCTGTGTCTCCTTGCTGCCTTTGTGCCTCCCCACCATCCCCACCCAGAGGCCTCCAAATAGGGTCAAGAAATGCCTGTAGGAGGCTGTGGCATCACAGCTAGGGAAGCCGGAGCTGTGTAGGCTACAACCCTGCTTTTGTAGACGGAGTCTGCAACCTAGGGTAGGTATTTCTGCTTCCTCCTCTATGAAGTAGGGCTGATTATAGTACGTACTTCGGGGAGTGACAAAAGAATCGAAGGCCCCTAGAGGCACTCACGCAGCCTTCTCTGAATGCTCCCTGGCAACACTCAGTGCGACCAAGGGTGGAAGTAAGCTCGTCCCTGCTTGCCCACCCTGAGAGCCAGAAGCATCTCATGCTGTCCCTTCTGGGGTGAATTTTAAAAATCATGTTCAAATCCAAAGCAAGGAAATGCATATTCTGCTGAAACCAAGGTTTTTTGTTGTCATTTGCTGTTTTTGCAATTCCAAGATTGAACCTAGGACCTCCACACTGAGCTACATTTCCCACACACACCCTTTTTTGATTTGTTTTTTGAGACATGGTTTTGTAGTAACAGGCTGTCCTTGAACTCACTGGGTAGCACAGGTTGGCCTTGAACTCACATCAATCCTCCTGCCTCGGCCTCCCGAGTGTGGGGATTACAGCCATGTGCCACCACACCCAGCTATTTTTTTTTGAGATGAGTTATCACTAAATTGCTTAATTCTCAGTTTCATCCTGAACTTTCAATTCTGCATCAGTCTCCCAGAGTGTCAGGATAACAGTTGTATACCACCACAGCTGCCTACTGGCACAAGTTAAAGTAGAGGGAACTAGCAACTGGCATTAATAGACATCTGCAGGCTTTGTCAGAGGAACTATTAGCAGACACAGTCACAGATTCAGTCATAAGAGGACACACTACAGCACTGGCGATAATAATGGAAAGCTAGACACAATCTAAAACAGTTGGAAGCTGCTTAAATAAACTGTTGTAGAAGTACATGATAGGATTGTATTCTAGTCCTAACTTGCCCTCACTGATGAGTCAGAGAATCAATTTAGTAGACAAAAACCAGCATTTTTTTAGTTAATGATAGATTAGAACCAAAAGTTTCAGCATGCTTCATAGGAAATAAGGACAAATATCAACTGTGTTTCATGAAGCATTTTGTCTTAAACAGGAATGATCAGCCAGGTGTGATGGCACATCCCTGTAATCCCAGCCCTCATGAGGTTGAGGCAGGAGGATCACCATGAGTTGGAGGCCAGTCTAGGCTACATAGTGAGTTCAAGGTCAGCCTGAACTATGGGTATAGTGAGACTCCATCTCAAAAAAAAATAAAGTCCAACAGCAGCACAGTAACCTCAAATCTGCAGACAAAGAAAGATACTCATAACATGTGAAGTGAAAAAGAACAGCTTAGCCAGATGTGGTAGTGTTCTCTTGTAATCCCAGCACTCAGGAGGCTGAGGCAGGATGATTGTTGCAAGTTTGAGACCAGCCTGGGCTACAAAGTGAGCCCAAGGCCAGCCTGAACTGCACAGAGAGACCCGGTCTCAAAAAGATGAAAAAAAGAAAAACAGCAGCTTTCCCAGATGGGAAGTAAGGACCGGCCTTGGCGGTGCGAGTGCACAGCACTGACTTTCCTGGGGAGTACCTTGCTTCAGTTGGCACCGACTGCACTCACCCAGGTAGCTGAGGATGACAGGTAGGAAGACCAGGCCGTGCACCAGGCCCATCATGGTGATCAGGAGGTTGAGGCGGAAGAAAAAGATCTGGATGAGCTGGGCCTCAGCAAGGCCCAGGATGAGGATGCCTGGCAGGTTGGTCATGGCCACACCGGCAAACACCTAGAGGGTAACAGCCAGGCATCAGGCAGGCACAAGGTATCAAGGTGGGGGTCGGTGCATGCCCCGCCACTCACCGCACTGCCCATGGAGACTGTAGCCTCCCTGGCCCTCTCCAGCCGGCTGGGCTTGGTGCTGATGGCAAAGGAACGGGTGATGTGCGACACAAACTCCACCGACATGCCCACCGCCTGCGGGCAGAGGACAGGGTTCAGGGGAGGCTGAAGGCAGAGGCGGGAGGAGATGCAGGGGGAGCTCAGGGCCAGATCTCAGACCCGTCATCCCTCCAGGGACTCCTCTGGTGCCTGTATCCCTCCCATTACCGCAACCAGGTTGATGAGGGATACGGCGTTGTAGGTGATGTCCCACATGGCCATGAGGCCGATGGTGTCCACAAGGATCATAATGATGACAAGCAGGTTAAGGAGGCCGGAGCGCAAGTCCAGGCCCAGCAGGAAGTAACAGACCACGAAGGTGGGCAGGAAACACAGTGCGAGCATAAAGATGCCCTCGGGCAGCACGGTCACGTACTGCTGGTAGAACACATTGGTGACCCTGCCGGAGGGGGCTCAGTCACACACAGGCCGAGGAGCCCTTCTGGACACCCCATTTCCAATGGAGTCACTGAAGCTCAGGGAGGGTCATTTGGGGGACCGAGCAGCACAGAAACAGACAGGCTCCAGACCACCACTGCAGCCTCCGATCTGAAGCTGTCCCTGTCCCTTGCAACCCCTCAAAAGCCCACCGCCCCGTTGGCCCCTACCCAGCAGCTATCTCCCTGCACCCTCCAGCGCAGCCCCCAGGTCCTCACGTGTAAGGGAAGACCTCGAAGGCCGGGTCCGTCCCCGGCACCTTCCGCAGCTCTTCAGTGATGTTGGTCGCCAGCAAGTGCGCAGCCTGCAGGGCCTCTGTGAAGTCCTGTGAGTTCTTCAGGGGCTTGTGGTAGGCCATGAACTGGGAGGCTGCACAGCACACAAGAGAGAGAGAGAGAAAGAGAGAGAGAGAGAGAGAGATCAAGGGTCAGAGCCTGCTGGGGACCCTCGGAGCATACCAGTGACAGAAGCTTGGGCATGGGATCAAGCCAAGCTCTGCTGCCACCAGCTCAGATGCCAAGCAAGGGGCCTGCATCTGTGTTTTGCCATAGACCTGAAAAGTCTGCAATTAGCCCAACCACCCCAGAGCCACAATGTCAGCAGATGGGGCAACAAGAAAGCTCCCTGGTGTTCCCAAAGCTTTTCTGTCTGGTTTCAAAACATGCATGACTAGGGCCAGGGATTTAGTTCAGCAGCATAAGTGCCTGCCTAGCAAGTGCTAGGTCATGAGTTTGATCCCTGTACAAAAAATAAATAAATAAAATAAACGCATGATTGTTTAAATCAATTGTTTTTCAGAGTTTTTCAAAGCTGTGTGTCCCTACAGGAAAGCTCTAGAAACAAAGACAAAAAATGAAAACTCTTCAGTTCTGAGAGCTGGTTAGGACTCTAGCGCTAAGTACAGCCTGCATTTAGTAATTCACATTGCGAACTGCTTCAGAACAAAGTGAGAGAATCCATCAAGCTCCCCTAATTTTCACTGACCCTCAGGCCACTTCTGTGCTAGCTGCGCCAGGGTCCCCATGCTGAGCCATAGCTGGCTCCCTCATGCAGATGTCCATCTGGCTCTGCCACCTGCTGCAGGAAACTAAAACATGTCACAGTCCTTCCCCTGTCAGTCCAACTCCAACTGCCTCGCTACTGCCGGTAGCTGGTAGGGTTCTGCCACTCTGAGGCATCTTAACCAACTGCCTGGCACTAAGGCCTGGATGAATAGACAGGTGTGGTGGTAAACGCCTATTATCTCAGCAGTCTGGGAGACTGAGGCAGGAGGGTCACAGGTTCCAGCCCAACCTTGGTTACTTAGGACTCAGCAAGAGCCTGTCTAAAAATACAAATTTTTAAAAAGGCTAAGGGCATAGCTCAGTGCAAAGGCCTAGGTTCAATCTCCAATACCACAACAACAACAAGGACAAAAATTATACATGCGTGAAAAGATGCTTAGCCCAGGGCTGGGGTGATCAGTAGTCTTAAGGATGACATTAGCTGCTGAGAAACTGCCACCAATGTCACTTTGACCATAGGCTCGAGTGGGAAAATGGATTTAGTCTGAAGCCCAGCACCATTGGAAGCCCTTACAGAGGATGGAGGGGAGAAGATGCAAGGTGGAGAGAGGCTGTTCCCAGGGGCTCCAGGTGACTTCCTGTGTGCAACCTGAGTCCTTCTCCCAGGCAGGGCCTTGCTTACCTACAACCTGTCCATCTGCACTAAGGTTCACAGAGGTACTGTATGCTGCCATGCCACTGCAGGGGGACAGAGCAAAGCTTAGTGAGGATGAGGCCCCCTCCAATCTCCCCCCACCTACCCCAGAGAGGCCCCTCCTGGTACCCCTACCTCTGTGTGGCCACTGTTCTCACCCTACACAGCCACGTTCCCCATAGGTTGCCCCTCTCAGAGCTCACCCTTTGGGACAGTTGATGTTGGGCAGATCACTCAGGAACGAGGGAAGGTACTTGTGGAACTGCTCCACTGTGGGCCGCACAGGCCCCGAAGTGAAGCTCATGCAGTACTTTAAGCACCTCAAGGCACCTGCAAATAGGGGGGCTCTAGATGGTAACGTCTCAGGGCAACAGCTCCTGCTCCTGCTCTGAGCCCCGTCTCTGTCCCCATCCCAGGCCCCGGGCCCTGGGATTTGCATCCTGAGTCTCTAACTGAGGGGGCTGAAATCCTGGTATGGAGCAGGAAATGGGGGCGTGTCCCCCCACCTGCAAACACAGCAGCTCCCCTTGCAGCTGGGCACCGGCCTCAGTGAGTACACTCCAAAATCACGGGTATCATGCCCCAGGGAACACCAGAGTGTAAATGCCCAGGCTCCTCCCTGAAGCCTGGTCTGTGCCCTTGACCCCACTGCACCCTGCATGGGTTGGGAGGTTGAGAGAGCCTCGTTAGCCCTTTCCTAAAGCTCTCTTGCCTCAGTTTTCCCAAATTACCATGGAAGATGAGTCTGTGAGGCTCTACACTTACTCTCAGTTGAAGGACAGAACTCATCCCTATTGGGACCTGAGGTGTAAAGGCGACAGCAGGGGGATGGTGTCAGCCAATCAATGAAGTCGTCCACCCAGGAGGAGGCAGGGATGGCCAGGTACGACCTGGTGTGGGCACAGGAGGTGAGGGCCAGGACCACGATTGCATAGGGGCCTCCCAGGCTTAACGCAGGCATTGGGGGCAGCGGGGGAGGTGGGGGAGGCAGGGGCAGGGCTAGCAGGTGGGAGTAGGGGACACAGATAAGGGCTCAGGCTGGGGGCCAAAGGACCAGGCACTTACTGGTCAGGGAACTCGGTGGCATACTGGATCTTCTGGGTCAAGGAGAAGGGGTCGCAGCCTGCACTGGAGCAGATGGCGTTCATGCCATAAACGCTGGAGAAGTTGTAGCCCGAGGTGGTGACAAAGTACACTGGGGGCCCCACCTCAAAATATCGGTTCAGAGAAAGGAAGTAGTCGAGCAGGTAGGAGTCCTGGGAGGGAGGAGGACCAGGGAGTCTCAGGAGGCCACTCACCCACCAAGGGCTGATGCCAGCTTGTTCAGAGATGTTAATTCTCCGGAAACAATTCAATACAATTCCTATCCAAATCCCAATACCATTTTTTTGAAAAATTCACTCTAAAACTCATAAGATCAATGACACAGAAATATGGAGCTTAGAAATAAATACTTACATATATGGTCAAATAATTTTTTATGAAAGGGTGTTCAAACTATTCAATGAGGAAAAAACAGACTTTTCACCACATGGTGCTAGAAATATCAGAGGAAGTGTGAGAGAAAGTGGGGGTCTACACGCAGAGGAATCACGCTTGGGCCCTTGTTTCACACCATACACAAAGTTAACTGGAAATGAACCAAGAATTTAAATCAAGCCTCAAAGACATAAATCTCTCAGGAGAAACAGTGAAACTTCATAATGTTGTCTTGGGCAGTCATTTCCTGACATGACACCAAAGACACAGTCAACAAAAGAAAACGTAAAGAGGACTGCATGAATATTTTTCAAACCTGTGCATAAAAGAACACTATCAGGGTCTGGGGATTTAGCTCAGCGGCATAAGCGCCTGCCTTGCAAGCAGGTGGTCGTGAGTTCAATCCCCGGTACTGATAAAAAAGAGAAAAGAGAAAAAAGAAAAAAAAAAAAAAAAGAACACTATCAACAGAATAAAAAAGCAAATGTTATGGTTAAATTTTAGATTTTAAAATGTCAGAGCCAGGGCTTGTGAAGGTAAGTTCATAGCTGATGTGCTGTGGGGAAGCTGGGCTCAGTCTGAACAGATGATCTCTAGGGGTGTGACTCGGAAAGGTGGATTCTTGTCCCTGAGTCCTTTTCACTCTGCCTCCTGGCTGCTGTAACATGAGCAAATGTCCCCTACCCAGCTCTATCATGTCATTTCTGCCTTGGAGCCAGAGGTCAGGGACTGAATCCTCTGAAACTGTGAGGTAAAATATAACTCTCCTCCTTTAAATTGTACATATTGGCTGTTGTGCCCAACAAATGGGAAAACTGGGTAATATAGCAACCCACAGAATGGGAGAAACATCCACAAACCTGATATCCATGATCCACACGCATGAAATCCACAAACTCCACACCTAACATTGCTGAATTGTATACCTACTAGAGCTGACATGCATGCACACACACACATACACACACACACACACACACACACACACACACACACAAAATGAGCAAAGGCATTAAACGGACACTTTCCCAAATAAGGTATATGAGTGGCCAATAAGTACATAAAAAGATATGCAACAAGACACAAAATAAACATACAAAAGTCAATAGCCTTCCTGTACACCAGTAATGAACCTGCTGTAAAAGAAATCAGGAAAACAAATCCATTCACAATAGCTTCAGAAAATAAAAAGGGTTAGGAATCAGCCTAACCAAGGAGGTAAAAGGCCTGTATAATGAAAATTTTGGAACACTGAAAAAAGAAATTGAATAAGACATTAGAAAGTGGAAAAACCTCCTTGGTTCATGGACTAATATTGTTAAAATGGGCATATTACCAAAGGCAATCTACAGAGTCAATGTGATCCCTGTTTAAACACCAATAACATTCTTCACAGAACTGGAAAAAAATCTTAAAATTCATATGGAAACACAAAAGCCCCAGATAACCCAAAACAATCCTGAAAAAAGAACAAGACTAGAGGCCTAGACTAGAGGTTCTATAGTATGAAACCCAATTTCATACTATAGAACAAAACCACAGGAGCAAAAACTGCTTGGTACTGACACAAAATACACTTTGTTTGTTTGTGTGTTTGGGGTTTTTGAAACAGGGTCTCACTATATAGTTCAGGGTGGTTTTAAATTCACACTGTATAGCCCAGACTGGCCTTGAACTCACTCCAGTCCTCCTGCCTTAGCCACATGAGTGCTAGGATTGCAAACACACAAAACCATGTCAGCTGAAAGAGACATTAGACCAATAAAATAGAGCAGAAGATACAAAAACAAACCCATACAACTACAACTGATTTTGGCAAATGGTCAAAAATTTATGGTGGAAGACCAGGCAAACACCTGTAATTCCAGCACTCAGGAGGCTGAGGCACAAGGATCTCTGTGAGTTCAAAGACAGCCTTGAACATCAGTTCAAAGCCAGCCTGAACTTCATAGTGAAACCCTGTCACAAAAAGACTATATATGGCAGAAAAAATGACAGGCTTTTTAACAAATGGTGTCAAGAAACTGGAACTCAACATGTAAATTAAAATAGGTCCTTATCTCTTCCTCTATTCCAAAAAACCAAAGTGGATCAAAGACCTAGATATAAGTTCAGAAATTTTTAAACTACTAGAAGAAAACGTACAGGAAAATATTTTAAAGCCACAGGCATAAGCAAAGACTTCCTGAGTAGTACCAGAATAACATAAGAATAATATTATGAATCAACAGGTGGGACTACATCAAATTAAAAACCTTCTACACAAGAAAGGAAACAGCTACCAGTAAAGAGACAACCTACAGAACGGGAGAAAATCTTTTCCAGCTATTTACTGACAGAGGATTAATATCTAGAATATACAAAGAACTAAAAAAACTTAGGGAAAAAGGGGCTGGGGATTTAGCTCAGCGGCATAAATGCCTGCCTTGCAAGCAGACGGTCGTGAGTTCGATCCCTGGTACCAGTAAAAATGAAACAGACAAAAAAAAAAAAAAAAACTTAGGGAAAAAAAACTCCAATTAAAAAACACACAAGAAGGGGGCCAGGGGATTTAGCTCAGCGGCATAACAGCCTGTCTGTCAAGCATGGAGTTGTGAGTTTGAGCCTTGCACCAAAAACAAAACAAAAAAACAGGAGTAACTACTTATGAGAATTCTCAAAAGAAATACACACCAGATGTGGTAGTGCACATCTGTAATTGTAGGACTCAAGAGGATCACTGTGACTTCAAGGCCCGCCCAGGCTACACAGTGAGCTCCAGGTCAGCCTGAGCCACATAAGGAGACCCTGCCTCAAAAAGACAAGAAAAGAAGAACAACAGCAACAACTTGCCAATAAATGCATGAAAAACTGTCTGACATCTTTAGTCTTTATGGAAATGCAAGCCAAGCGCCACAGAGAATCCATCTCATGCCAGGCAGAATGGCGACTGTGGAGGATACAACAAATGCTGGTGAAAACTAAAGGGAAAAGCAAACTTCTGATCTGCTGGTGGGAATGAAAATCAGTGCAACCAATGTGGAAATCCGCACAGAGATCCCCAAATAAAAGTTCAAACAGACCCAGCATTTGATCCAGCAACCCCACTCCTGGGTGTATCTCCAGCACCCTCCACTGGCACACACACATCCTAGCATCCAGAGGCACAGTCATAAGCACCAAGCTGTGGAGACAACCTAGGTATCCATCAGCAGGGGCACATATAAAGATAATGTGGTGTGGCCGGGCGTGGTGGTGCACACGGGCAATCCCAGCACTTGAGAGGCTGAGGCAGGAGGATCATTGCAAATTTGAGACCAGCCTGGGCTACAAAGTGAGCTCAAGGCCAGCCTGAACTGCATAACGAGACCCTGTCTCAAAAAGACAAAACAAAAAAAGATAATGCAGTGCGTATACACCATAGAATACTCCTCGGCTATAAAGAAGAGTGAAATCATGATATTTGTCTGAAATGGAAAGAACTAGAGTATTATCATGTTATGGAAAATAAGCCAGATTCAGAAAGCTAAGTATCAAATGGTTTCTCTTAGATGAAAAACCAAATAAACAAATGTAAGTGATGACAGTAAACCAGAAGGTAGAATTTTGGAGAGAGGGGAGGAAGTTTAGGGGGAAGAAAGCAATGGGATGAAAATAAAGTATGCTACCTCTATGTAGCAAAACACTGAGAGGAATCTCATTACTCTGCATCACTATTACACACTAGTATCATTACGTATCAAGGAAAGTCTCATCAGCCCCACAGCAAGACAGCTACCACTTCACTCTCACACTAGTACAGCTATTATTGAGCATCTCAAAGTAGACTGGGATGCATCCCACTGGTAGAGCAGATGCCAAGCAACTTCAGGACCCCAGGTTTGAGCCCCAGCACCAAATAAAAACACCAACAGGCGTTGGTGGGGATTTCACACACAGGGTAGGCACTCAGCCGGTTGGCAGTCACCTTGTGTGGCCATCTCTCACAGACAGCCCTTCTGACACAGCATGCAGGATAGCTGTCCTGCTGTGGCGTGTGAGGCCCTTGCATCTCTCAGGCACAAGCCTGGATCCTCTTGCCAGCTGTGCCAACTGAGAGCGATTCTCCAGGGCTGCCAGGCCTCGGCAACCAGGGACAGGGGAAATACCGAGCTCACCTTGGGCAATGCCAGCTCCTGGTCCAGTCCCACGATGAGGTGACTTATGAAATAGAGGCTCACTCCAAACAGGATCAGGAATAGCAGCAGCTGGAGCAGGAACTACGTGTGAGACCCCTCCCTCCCACAACAGCCCCGTCTGCTCCAGATCCTGATCCTCAAGCAGCGTAAGGCCTGCAGGAGCACGCCCCCTCCCCTGACCCTCCCCTCCCCTCTCTCTCTCCTCCCCAGCATCTGGCCTGGGGCAGAGTCCAAAACAACGCTCTCCCCGTTTCCTCCCCTCCCCCTCCCCTTCCCCCTGCCCCTCTGCCCCTCCGACCCATCCCGCATCTCCTTGGGCAGGCATGCTCACGCACCACAACCCAGCGGGTGACCCGGTGCAGCAGGAAGGGGACGTATATCTTGCGGAAAAAGCAGAGCAGGAGGCCCGCGCTTTGCTCCGAGGCAGGCAGCTTCCGGGGGCCCATGCAGCAGAGGACGTCAGGCCGGAGGGCCTGCAGGGAGATAGATACTCAGAGGACAGTGGGGGGCCCAGACCAGACCCCATGTCTGCCTTACCCCAAGTGGCACCACCAGCATCACATCCTGGGGATGAGGAACTGTGACTTGTTCACTTTTCATTGTTTTGTTTTGTTTTGCTTTGCTTTGTTTTGCTGAGCAGGGTCTCAATACTATATCCCAGGTTGGCCTTGAAACCCATCCTCTCACCCAGGGTGGGCTCAAACTCTGGAGTCTGGAGTGCTGGGATCACAGAAGTGTGCCACCATACCGAAATATATATATATATATATATATATATATATATATATATATAGTCTTGTATACTTTAGGATGGTTCTGCTAATTTCCCAAAATTACCAAAACCAAACTGTCTTTCTATGGAAGTTACGAAGTATGTAGTAGCCCAAATACCCCTACCCTCGCATAATGACCTGCTCCCATCCTACTGGCTGCTACCTCTGTGGCAAAGAGGCCACATCTCCTTAACAGGTGGAGACCCAGCCCAGACAGATCCCTTGGTACCTCTTGCCTCTTGCTGTCCAGAGAGAGCAGGGCTACAAAGGCAGTAATCTGCAACAGGAAGTCCAGGAAGACTGCCAGGCCAGAGGTCAGGGCAAAGGTCCGCACGGCTGGCATGGGAGTCAGGGCCCCTGTGGAGGGGAAAGGCTGTCAGGGGATACTGGTGACTGGGCAGAGGGCAGGGGTCTGCTGACACCTGCCGCCTCCAGGAAGTCCCACCCTCTGACACTGGCTCTGCAGAGAAGACCTGGGGGCACTGCTCACCCAGGAAGAAGCAGATGGTCTCTGACAGACTGCAGAGCAGCATGCTGGGGCCCACACTGCCCAGGGCTCGTCCAATGTGGGCCTCTCGACTTTCCCCAGGTATCCACGGCAGCCTCTGTGTGGAGCAGCAGATGGTGGAATCCAAGACCCGCCAAGGGCATTGTCCCTTGCACTAACTTTCCTGCCCCGCAGCCACCTTCTGCCTGCTAGCGGGGAGAGGCCACATGGACTCTGATTTTGGCTTTCCATGGAATGCTACACAGCAGCGTAAAGACAGGAAGTGGGTCTGATATGCTACCCCAGCAGATGTGTGGGTCTAACAGAAAGTTCCAGATAATGTACAGTAGTGGAGCACATCTGCAATCCCAGCACTCAGGAAGCTGAGGTAGGAACATTGCCGTGAGTTCAAGGCAGCCTGGACTGCATAGCAAGACCTTGTCTTAAAAATACAAACACATGCTTGTGTGCACACACACATGCAGGATAAATGTGTCTGCATGCTGTTTTCTAGAGGTGCAGCCCTGAGAGTGGATTTGTGGAGAAGTGAGTTGATGCCCAGGAAGGCAGTGCAAGACTCTGTGATGTGGGAATGAGGGGTATGGGGGACAAGGACCATCTCCCTTCTTACCTGGTACTCGAGGACAAAGATGAAGATGTTGTCAGCGCCCACCGCCAACACCAGGAAAGGCACCACTTGGAGGATGACCAGGGAGGAGGGGACGCCCAGGTAGGAGTAGAATCCCATGGCAGCCACAACCGATCCCAACACCACGGCCACCCCGCCCAGGCCCACAGTGACCTTGGATTCCACCTGCAATGTACGCAGTAGGCTGGCCTCCTGGTCTCCAGGTCACCTCCCACCCAGACCTGCCAGGAAGTGGGCAGTGGGCAGCGGGTAACGGCAGGGACCCACAGGTGTCAGAACCACCCACTCACTGCAGCAAGGAGCCCGAGTCTGCACCAAGCCCCCCACCCAGCCAGCCTCCCACCAGCAGTGCTGCACCCCCAAAAGTGCAGGTCCAGCTGCTGTATGCACAATCACCAGACATGGTAAATGGCAGCTGTGCAAGTGAACACAAGGGGCCATGCTAGGAGTGGAAATAAAACTCTTTTCAACACAGAACACTTCTAAGAAAGAGCCCTTTGGGAGAGTCTCTTCAAAGGTGCTCCCCGTGAAGGGTGAGAGGCCCTGGTTAGGAAGTTTTCAAAAAACATACTGCGGTCTGGGGACCTGGGCACCCACTCTCACCAGTACTCGGTCACATCTAGAATAGCTGCCCAGGGCCAGGGTGATGTACACAAAGATGACCAGATAACTGATGGCAAAGATGGGCAGGTCCTTGAGTGTCGTGCGGTTGATCTCATCCTCCAGAGAGCGCTGTGAACACACATACCAGCCCGGTGACCACACAAGAGTCTCAGGGCTGGGTGGCCTGCTGGGGACCCCGACAAAGGTCCAGGAACACCCATCACAAATCTCAGTGGCATTCATCACCTGGATGGCCCAGGATGGGTACCCTGGAACCTCCCTGGGACCACTACAGTGACCACCACAGAGCCAGGACCCTGAAGTTCCTACCTCAGCCATGAAGGCCACCTGGAACGTGCCAGCCATCCTCTGCTGGAAGGCTTGAAGCTCCTGCACAAAGGCCTCTTCCCAGAGCTTGGCCTGAGCCAGTCGGGGGTCATCCACGGGGTAATTGTTGACAGAGAAGGTCATGATGAGGGCCTCTGCCTCTGAGTACTCCTTCCCTGGGGTAAGAAGTGTTCAGCCCCCACCAGGTGCAGCCCGCCTCCCTCCCCCTCCTGCTTGTCTCTGAAAATTATGTATTTACTCCCATGTCCCGCTTCCCTCTCTGAGCAGAGGCAAGACCTCAGGGCCCAGGCACAAAAGCAAACAAGAAGCTGAGCGAATGACAGACAGGAGTCAGGATGGGGTACCCGCAGCCCCACAGCCAGGCTAGTTCCGGCTCCCCAGCCTTCAACGGCACCCAGCTTACCTTGGTATCCCCCCACAGCAAGGAAAGGGAAGACAGGGGCCCCGTAGTCAGCCATGCAGCTCAGGGCCAGGCTTGTGCCATCTTTGAAGGTGAGGGGAGAGCTGGAGGGAGACCACACAGGGAAGAGGCCTTTCCGGACCCCGCCTCACCTCCCAGGGCCTGGCCCATCCTAGGTGCTCTGCAGACGAAGGGATCACCTGACCCAGCAGCTCCTTAATGGCCCTCTTCCACCCAAACCTCTTCAGGGCCCAGTACCCCAAGTGAAGAAGCCACCTTGAGCCTCCTCTGCCAGGCAGGAGCTTCCTGTGTCCCCTTGCACAGCTGGCCCTCCGGCCCACCCTTATTTGCTTCCCAGAGAGGCGTTACTAAAGTCCTGAGTCGGGATTTGAGCTACAGCCTTGCACCCTCCTTTCTGCTGTACCTGGACTCCTCCACCCCCAGACAGGAAGGACCTGAGGATCCCCCTTCTCCTGCCATGCAGGAGGCTTTGGGTCTCAGTCTACAGTGGTCAAGCTGGTCCCCTCCCTTCCCTTTGCTCCCCTCGATCCCCACCTTGGTGTCTTCCTGAGTTGTGTTGTGGCTGTTCTCCAGACCACCAGGAAAGGACTTTCACCTCCCAGACTCCTGCTGCCCCCTACACTGTCACCTTACCCCTGAGGTAGCAGAAGTCAGGGAGAGATGGGGCCCATTGTGAACATCCCTGACCCCCAGAAAGCCTTGATGAACACTGGCTAATCCTCCTGGAGACTACAGGGTGTTGGCCCCAGCATTTGTTGGAGATAGCACAGGAACTCTGGATGAGGTCTCCTGGACCACTATGGGTTTAAATTGAACCAAGAAGTAAGAACTAAATTTGAACCAATCAGCAGGCTCCTATTGGAAATTTTGGGTTTAAATCAATTTAGACCACTTGTTTACAGGCTCAAATTTGGACCAATCATAGCCTTGAATTTGGACCAATCATCGGTCTTAAATTTGAGCCAATCACAGGCTTTCAGCTGTAAATAGCACTCCCCTCTCTCTTCTTGGGTGGGGTTTGGAAGGTTGTCTCCTGTTTTTTGGTGTCTGTGTGCTGCAGCACAAATGAAACAGCCTTCCAGCGGCCAGAAAATATGCTCATGATGTATTTCTTAGGTAGTGAGAGTTTGAAAGATCCTGTAAGTGCACTCAAGACTTCTGAGTAACATGGACAGAACAGTAGCTAAGAAAGGAGACAGAGCAGCAGGGGCTGTTGCCAGAAGAGCTCCAGAGACCCACAGCCAGGGTGAAGACTGGCAGTGCTCAGCATGCGTGACAGCAGCCAAAACCAACAACTGGTGACACCTCCAGTGGCATCAGGCCCTGAAACTGTGATGCTAGAGGCCATTGGCACTCAGAGCACCAGGCCTGTAACAGAGCTGTGCTTCCTGATTCAAGATTCCTATCCTCTGAATCAAGCCAAAAAAAAAAAAAAAAATAGATAAAGAAAAAGAAAAAACAACTCTCATGTGATCAGCTACCCGGCCAGGTTCTCTATTTACATTTTTGGCTCTGAGGAAGTAACTGTGTTGGCCACTGGTCCCTCATAGCAGTGCCCTCTGCTCTGTGACCTTGAGCAGCTCACTGTACCCTCCCAAGCCTCAGCCTCCCTTCTACTCCTTGAGAATGGTGTGCATGCAAAATCAAACTAAGATAGCACAGGAGGACAGCACACCTGACCACCAATGCCTTCCTGGCATAGCAAATAGCCCCTCCCTGTGCTGCCATTTCTGAGGGACAGACACTCTGGGCTCAGGGCTGAGGGTAGTAAGTCCATGTTGAAGACCACTGCTCTATACCCATATCCAAGGGTCTCAGCCACCCCAGCTTTCCCACTGTCCTCTTTGGCCCAGCATCCTCTCTGGCCTCTAGAATAGACAGAGCCAGGAACCAAACTCCAACAGCACCAGGGATTGCCTGAGACCCACCCTGAAGGTGGCCTGGGACCTGAGACCAGTCACAGCCCTAACCTGGCCAGAGGGCACTGCTTTCCATTCACACCAAACCACTCCTGAGCTACCAGGGGCTCTTCGAGGGCCAGGCACAGAGGCAAAAGAAGAAAAACAGTGCAAACACTAACATGAGCTGGAGGAGAGTGTGGTGGCACAAACCTATAATCCCAGCAATCTGGGAGCCTGAGGCAGGAGGATCACAAATTGGAGCCCAGCCTAGAAAACTTAGTGACTTAGCAAGAGCTTGTCTCATAAATGATGAATGGATAAATGAGGATTTAGCTCTGAGTTGAGTTCAATCTCTAGTACTGAAAAGGATGAGGAAGGGTCAGTGCAAAGGCCCTGGGTTTAATCCCTAGTACAGTCACATCAATCCTTCAATCAAACTGAGCCCTCAGAAAGGAGTATGGCTGCCGCCTGCTCCTCCCTGGCTCAGGGAGGACTCACTTGGCACAGTAGAGGAAGTGGTCCCTCCAGTCCACCTGGGCTGTCTGGCCCATCAGAGTCTGGTTGGCGGTGAGCAGCAGGAGTGTGCGGTTACTCTGGAAGTACTGCAGGAGGCTGTTGATGCAGCAGTCGGAGAGGCTGGTGTTGTGTGGTTTGAGGGGCGCGTAGCAGATGTCCCGCAGGGAGATGTTGCGTTGCGCCTCTGGTGACCACACTTGCAGGTGCCTCAGCCTCTCCTGCAGGTCCAGCAGCTCCAGCAAGAGGTCCAGGCTCAGGATCCCGCTGAAGTTCTTGGGCCCCAGCAGCAGGGAGTCGTACATATAGCTGGACCGATTGGTTGCCGTCAGGAAAACCTGGTTGGTCCGGAAGAAGGGGCCAAAATGCTGGTCGTGAAACTCCTTCTCCTGCCGGGCTTGGCTGTTGGGAGCTGACCACAGATCCACGGGGTCCGTGGTGAGTTCCAGGAATGTCAGGCCCGATGCCAAGGCCACAACTCCCACCAAGGACACTGCCAGGACGGTCAGTGGCCACGAGGCCACCGTTCTTCCCCACCTCTCAAAGAAACGGGCAAGAACTGTGTTCGGGGAACACCTGTGTTTCTCCGAAGTGACAGGGGACACAGGGGGACCTTGGCTTCTGGCCTTTTTCCTCCTGGCAGTCACACGGAGTTGGGCAAGGATGGTGGTGAGCAGCAGGAAAACACAGCTGAAGATGATGATGATAACCGCCCAGCCTGGCAAGAGGCCCAGGTAGAAAAAGGGGCGCAGGTTGGAAGGCGGGGGGATGACGGGGCAGGAGGCGGCGCAGTCCTGGCAGGAGCAGGCCACCGTGCCATTGCCCTGGGCCTCGTTACAGGGTGTGATCATCGCATCCAATGGCTGCATCCCATCTCTCAGGGTCTGGCTGGGCTCAGTTAGGTGGAAGGTGATGTCCAGTGGGGCCAGGCCGTTCCCCGTGTCTCCCTGGAAGTTGAGCCAGCGCTGGGCGTTGCAGAGGTCCGAGCCGTACACACCGCACATGCTGCCCACAGCCAGCGTGGCGGCTGCGGGGATGCGTACACGGCTGCAGGATTCGTAGGCCCGCTCTGCAAAGCTGCGCTGGTAGAAGGCCTCATAGGCCACCACGGCTGGTGGTTGCCCGGTTCCCCGAGGAGCCACGCGGGTGACATTGATGAAGAGGCTCTGGTCAGGACTGCAGGTGTTCTGGCAGTGCAGGCTGACGAAGTTGTCGGAGCAGGCGGGGCAGCGCGTGAGCAGGGCCTTGGTGATGCTCATGCTCATCTCAAGGGACAGCAGCTGCTTGGTGGAGCAGCAAGCGTAGGTAGTACCGGAACCATTATAAAGACGGGGACAGATGCGCTGCAGGAGGGCCAAGTGGTCACCTGTGATGAGGCGTGCCGGGGTGTTGGACAAGCAGGACACGTTGGACAGTGATGTGAGGCCTCCCGACAGCTCCGGGTTGGGGCCGCACTCCTCATAGGAGGTGCAGTAGCCGGCTCGGTGGATGGGCGTGTAGAGCTCGCCCCTGGCCTGCAGATACAGCAAGGTCAGATACGGGCCAGGCCAGTGGCATAGAGGACAGGACAGGGTGCAGGGAAGGAAGACGACCGGGCAGAGGCCTGTGCTAGGGTGGCAGTGCTTTCCCCAGAGAAGGACATGACCTGACCCACGATGGTTTAGGAAGGTCACACTGCAGAGCAAAGAGCGGATGCCAAGGAAGGTGACCGAGGGACCCATGTTGGCCTGGGTTGCCCCTGGCTGCATTAGGGGCCTGTTGTGCGGGGTCATCAGGAGGTCTCCTCCCCCAGTACACCTTTGGACCCTCTGTCACCATCTCCCAGCTCCAGACTCCCACCACATCCCGACTCACTTCCTCCCTAAGGGCTAGGACCCAGCCCGGCTGCCACTGCTAACCCTTTGTCCCTCAATCCCTGACCTGGAGACCCTTCTTCTGGGACCTCAGCTGGAGGGCCTGGGATCCTTCCCCTAAATACACTGCCATCCATCAACCCCCACAAAGCCCCAGGTGTCCTGGGTCCCCATGAGGCGGCACACTCACGGAGCACAGGAGCAGGGCCCAGAGCAGCCAGCCGTGCCAGCAGGACGCCATCCTGGGGCCAGGAGGGAGTGTCGGGATGGCAGGAGACAGCTGAGGGTTGGCTGCGGAGATGCACAGGAGCCTCCTCCCCTGGTGACAGCCCGGTCAGACAAGGTTGGAGCCAATAGGGCTGAGCACTGCTGGTTAATAATCACCTGCTCCCACCCCTGCCTCCTGCTGGCCCCATCCACAGCCCCTTAGGTGACCCCCGCTGTTACAGGGCTGGAGTCTCCACACACTGTCCAGTACCACTGAAATCTGAGGGGCGTTGAGCCCCTGGGGAACAGATCCCGCACACCCCTTCAGGAACTGGCATTGGAGCAGAGGTGCAGGTGGGACCAGGCACTGAGGACTTTGGGCTTCGGCCTTGGGCCCTTGGAGTGGTCCTGGGAAGCTGCACCCCTTGGGTGTAGACAGACCCTGACTCGAGCCCACCCCTTCTAGGAAACAGGGGCAACTGTGGGCCTAGACACACCCTCTGCACTGTGATCCTTAGCAACCATTACTAATTAATATTAACAGCCAGATAACAAGGGCAGATTTAGGATGGAGCTACGCAGTGATGAAAGTCCCCTCCAAGCAGGAAGTAGAACCAACAGCCTGTTCCAGGGCCCGACAGAGGACAGAGACTTCAGTATATCTCCTCTGCTCACCTTCTCCTCCTCCCCACTCCCTCATCCAATACCAAGGCCAGCAGGACCTGGGTGGTGACACCTCCCAGGGCCCAGGTACATGGCACACACTTCTGCTCCCTCCTGATAGGAATCTCCTGAGCCTCCCTTTGCTCCCACTATCATAGGAAGGGTATGACCTTGGCACTCCTATTAAGGCTAAGCCACTGAATGCTGCCAGACTGCTCATGGGACCACCTACCCGAGAAGCCATCCAGGCCCCAGGCAGGCAACCCCGGAAGCTGGCGGAAGGCCCTGAGCTGTCCTATGTGCAGGAATGACCCCTGCCCAGCCCCTCCAGCTCCTCTTCTGCCTGTCTGGCCTAGGTGTTGTCATCCAGTTCCCCCAGAAACAGACTGACAGGGTTCCAATGTAAATGGCTTACTTGGGAGGTGCCCCAGGTGACAGCCTTGGGTAGACAGGTAAAGAGCCAAGAGACAGAAAGAAGCCAGCTCCTGGCCTCCAGGCTTTACTCAAGGAATAAGGACATGGTCACTTTCTCCACCTCCACTGGGGACTCAAGAAGCTTTAGCACTTGCCACACACAGCCAGAATGACTCCAGGTCAAGAGCGCTCACGGCCAGAAGTTGCTGGCACACAAGGGGCACAAGTGCCAAGGCCAGGGGAGCCACAGCCCTGGCACCTGCTGCACAGTCATTCTGGTCCCAGCACGGCCCAGGTGTGCAATGCCCAGGGGTCTCCCCTCAAACATGAACAGAGGACAGTGGCACATTTGCCCCAGGACAGAAGATGACAACTTTCACCCAGTCTGGCTACCTGTGTCTGTCATGGTTACATGATTCACGTGCTCCTGAATCCTGCTTTCCTCTATTTTACTTTTCTTTTTTGCAGTACTGTGGCATGAACACAGAGCCTTTGCCCTGAACTATATTCCCAGCCCTATTTATTTTTTATTTCAAGGCAGGGCCTTGCTAGACCATGAAATCATGCAGGCTAGGCGATCCTCCTGCCTCAGCCCTCTGAGTGCTAGGTTTCCAGATGTGCACCATGCCCAGCTCCCTTGACCTTTCACACACGCTCTCCACCATCTTCGTTGCCCGGATCACCTCGTGTATACTGTATGACAGCCTGCAGAGCAGAGCCCTGTCTCTTTCCCCACGCTGACTGTGGGCTGCTTTCCAATCTTTCACTGTTAATTTAAGTTTCTGGTTTGCTTCCTCTTGGCTAATGGAGTTTTTTCCTTTTGGGATTTACTTCCTTAAAATAAACCAGTATCGTGAGTCAGAACACACATTTACAATTCCTACCTGTGCAGCTCATCATTCCTTTCCTCCGGCTAATCTAGGGCTATCAGGCGAATATCAGTTTAGAGTCGATAGCAGCCCTGGTGACAGATACACACAGTGACATCACCAGGGCCAAGGCTCCTGACACCAGCAAGCTCAAGACTCACCAAACTCTCCCCTTGCCCATGGGATACCAGCTGTGAACTGATGCCTCAGTTGGGGCTCCCCTAGGGCACTGCCAAGGCCTGAACCCAGAGCTGGTAAATATTAACCATGTGCTTCCTCATCCACAGTAGGCCTGATTATTTTTGGGGGTGTACTGGCAATTGAACCTGTGACCTGCTCATACTATCATATTTCCCGAAAAAGAGACCTAACCACAAAAGAAGTCTTAGTCTGTCTTTTTAGGATGTTTGCATTAAAAATCCTACCTCAAAAATAAGCCCCACTGGAGGCCAGAGATATTCCTCAATGGCATAAGCGGCCTGCCCAGCAAGTGCAAGGTACTGAGTCCAATTTCAGGTACAAAAAAAAAAATCATTTAAGATTGTCTGCCAAGCTGGGTGTGGTGGCTCACACCTGTGTTGAAGGAGGCTGAGGCAGGATACCACTCTGCATTCAAGCCCAGCATGGGCTACATAGTGAATTCAAGGCCAGTCTAAATGACATAGCAAGAGCCTGTCTCAAAAAATAAAATAAAATAAAAAGATCATCAGTCAGATGGCATATGTAGTGTATTATAAAGTAATACCACTTAACTATAAATAAATATTATTGACATTAATACTTAAAATACATGACAGTGTAAATTATAATTGTATATTTGTAAATGTCCAAGCAAGTGCCTTTGGATGAGGAGTAAACACCTGTATAAGCAGGTGAACGGAAGAGTTATTTATTTGTACTGGGGACTGAACTTGTAGACCTCATACTTGCCAGTCAGGCGCTTACACTGCTGAGCTAAATTCCCAGCCTGTGAACACAAGATTTATTGTCAAATGACCAGAGTGCAGACGCATCACCTAAATGACAAGTACATTGATACCAACTGACCAATCAGTGCAGACTCATCACATAAATGACGAACACAGGTACCAGACGGACATGGCTGCATCTAACATGAATCTTCATAATTCAATACACCATGTTGTAACAGACATATGTGATTTTCTGAATTTTTGTGCCTGCCATTTTCCTCACTTTTGTGTGGACCATCATTCGTAACCCTCATCACTTTTGTTGCCATGCCTAAGTCATCAGTTAACACTTACTGTCATTGAGACTCTGCGGAGCCCCGCCTGGAAGAGGTCGTGACCAGGGTGAAGAATTCCTGGGTGAAGTGGGGGCAAAATCATTGACAGCTGTGTCGCCGAGTGCACTCCAAGCAGGCTACGTGGACAGGAAGTGCTCATTCAAAGACAGCTGTGTTGCTGGACATGAGAGACAGGAGCCAGTGATTCTAGAGGAAACAGAATCCTGAGAAATTCAATCTGGGATTGGGGGTTTGGAGAGTTCTGACAGTGTTCCAGAAAAAGATGACAGGACCACGTTTGAGTAAATGTAGATTTTTGTACATGGATAGAGGGAGATTGTTGTACCTGATAAAATATGAGATCCTCTGGGGGAAAAGCCCTACTGCATCTTTTAGAGCAAAAGTTAAATACAATGCCAGGTCCTATTTTCAGGGAAATGTGGTTGGTAAGAGCTCTCTCACAGAGGTGCATCCCACTGTTTTTATGTTTTCGTTCTGAGACCAGATCGCCTTACGTCGCCCAGGTTGAGCTGGGACTTATGTGATCCTGCCGCCTCAGGCGTGCACAGGCTTCATATCTGTTTGCTGTTGCTGCTGTTATTTTGAGACAGGGCCTCACTATATATTTCAGACTGGCCAATGTAGCCAAGGGTGGCCTCAAATTCATAGCGATCCCCCTCCTCAGCCTCCCAAGTGCTGGGATGACAGGCATGTGCTGCCATGCTCAGCTGGCTGTCTCATTTTTAGCCTTCTGTAACTGGAATGAAGATTAGCCACTGAGCAGCCTCAGAGGACAAGAACTACAGCCCTCCGTGGCTGGGTCTGGGCTGATGCCTGGCAGAATCTGCCCAGGTAGACCCTGTAACCAGGCCTGGGGATGTTGGGCGAGCTCACTGGCTTGTTTCCCTGAACCCCAGCATCATTCTGAGAGTTTGGAGGTCCAGGGGAAAGCAGAAGAGACAGCATTGTTAAGCCAGGCACTGACCTGGGTGTGTGTCCAGTGACCCCTGCCCAATCTACTGACTCCTTGGGGCAACCAGCCAGTTAGCAGAATCTCCATCCTCCTTGCCATCAGAACCCAGCCTATCTGGTGAAGGATTTATGCCTAGGATTCAGGAGAGAGGATGCTCTCCCAGCTCCTTTGCAACTAGCAGTGGCCATGAGATCTGGTTTTGTATTTCCTCATTAAAGGGATGAACACAGCCAGCACAGTACTCTAGCTTTCTACCTTTTCACTAGACAAAGATAGGATGTCTGGAGCCATAGCAACCATCTTGTGATCCTGAGGTGCCGAACATGAGGAAAAAATAAAGGTGAACAATATAAAAGTTGGGAGTGACATCAGAAAAAATGGTGAGCTAGGAAGCTCTCAAGTCTTTTCACTGCCAGAAACAGTGAAAAATGAGCCAAAGTATCTGAACAACTTTGCAGGAGTTCCAGAGAACAAAAGTTGACAGCAGCCAAGTATTAACTCCATAATCATTTTTTTTTAAAAAAGCCACCATGTAGCCCAGGAAAGTGTTATGGTACTGTCACTCACCTTGCCCACCTCCTCCCCAACATGGTCACTGAAAGGTCCTCACCCTAGTAAAAATTACTGTACAATTATGGCAGTGTTGTGCCATGGCAGAAGGCCTAAGTAAAACTGCTTACCACTTCCTCCTCCTCCTTCAGCCCTAATTGTAACTCCCTTTCCCGTTTGTGTGCAAAGAAAATTCCAATCAATTCCTCGCACATCATCAATATCCATCCCATGAGACATTTCTGATCAGATGTCATATAACTCTCTGCCTCTCTGCATCCAGTGGAAGGAAACAGCCCAACTGCCATGGGTTGTGTGTTCCTTTCCATGTCCTTAGGAAATACATTATTTACTTTTTTTGTTTACTTTTCACTTCTCTGTTGGGCCAGAAAACTAACAGTTTGGTGCCTTGCAACTCAGATTGGCAGAGTGCATTGGCTCCAGGGAGTGACTCACAGTCCAAGCTCCCTACCTATGAACCACTTTCCCTTCCTCCAGGCCCTGCTGATTTGCCACTGCTAGCCTGCATTCAACACTGACCCACCTCATTTGTCGCAGGTGAGCCACCTTACGTCTGTCCATTCGGGGTTTTCTGTTTAATTGTGGGCCCATGTCAGATAACCCATTGCCATCAGTGGACAAAGATAGCAGTTTTCCCGTTTCTTGTGCAAGACAGCCTGAGGCAGAACTGTTACCCTCTTGTTCTTTGAGACCCCACCCCACTCTCTCTGTGATGGCTGATGAGAATGGGTGTTGGGACCTTCCTTGTCACACTTTTGAGATAGGTGATGACTTCTTTTGATAAGTGTGACCCAGGACAATTTTCATGTCTTTGTGGGGGGAGCTAAAACTCTTACATCCCAAGGCAAAGTTATCCTCTTGGCTCACCTCTAATTCTGGTCATGGCGAACACCAATTCTCGTCCCCTGAAAAATACACCTCTGGGGTGCCTGGTTCATAATCTTGGTGCTCTTGGCCTAAAGGCTGTAAAAACCAAAAAGCTGATCTTTTACTGTCGGGTGGCTTGGCTGACCTACCAGCTTAATGGCAGCCCATGGCCTAAGGGGACAACACTTGACTCTATTCTTCAAAATTTATATAACTTTAATCACAATGGTGGCAAGTTGGTAGAAATTCCTTATATATAGGCCTTTCTCACTCAGAGGACATGCTCTTCTCTCATTTAGTCATGTACAGAGCCCAAATATTTCTGGCTCACTCTACTACACCAGGATCTCTCCCTTCCTCCCCACTGGACCCCTTAGATGATGTACCTCCTGTCTTTACCCCCACCCTGCCCCATATCCCCAAGCCCAAATCCCACAGCTGTCTCAGTCAGGTTTCTGAACTCCCTGTGTCATCCTCTCCCCTTTCCTGACCCCCAGTGGCCTTTAATCCTTCTTTTACTTTCTCTCCACAATCTCAGATTTCTTGATCCCCTCCACCTGAGCCATCTATTCCATCAGACAGCTCCTCTTCTTTGTCCCCTGCTCCTGCATCACCATTCTCCCTGCCAGCTCACCATACTCAGTCTCACACATTTCAGCCACCTAGCAGGCCATATGGTATTTGACTGCCATCTTTCAATCCCATATCACATGGTCCTCAGCAGCCATCTTGCTACAGCTCACATGGAGGACAGCCTCCATTTTGTGGTCCTCTGCCATATGACAGCCTGTTGCCATCTTGTGACAGGTCACAGTAAATTGTCATCATCTTGCAATCCCTCATCATGGGATCAGCAGCAGCCATATTGTTGCAGGTCACATGATGATCAGTCACCATCTTATGCTCCCTTACCATGTCACCAGCAGCAGCCATCTTGTTGTGGGTCACATGGAAACCAGTTGCCATCTTGTGCTTCCCTACTTGCGGTGACAAGTGACTTGTGGCCAACCACCCAGTAATTCCCCACAGATGCCTGCCAGGCACTTGGCTTCTCAGTAGCCATCTACACCTCCCACTCCACAGCCTTCTCAGCCTCAATCCCTATTCCCCTTTTGGGAACAGGCTGGTCCTGAGGGACTAGTTCATATTCATGTTCCTTTTTCCCTTGCTGATCTACGTCAGATTAAGCATAAATTAGGTTGCTTTTCTGTTGACCAACAAAATCATATTAGAAAATTTAAATTTATAATTAATTATTATGACTTACATTTCAAAGATGTTTATGTGGGCCGGAGATACAGCTCAGGGGCATAAGTGCCTGCCTGGCAAGCAGGAGGTCGTGAGTTCCATCCCCAGTACATACACAAACAAACAAAGAAAGATGTTTATGTGATTCTGAACACCACCCTCAGCTCACAAGAACAAACTCAGGTATACCAAGCAGCTCAAAAGAAAAACTTACCATAGACATAAAGCAAATACTACTAAAAATGACCCTGGGTCTGCTATTCTTATTTCAAGAAATCTGTTAATTGATCTACAAAAAGGTTCACACTGGTCTATTTAATTATGGTTCAAATTGGCCAAATATATTTAAGTGCACTCTGATTTTGTAAGATGTTTGTCAGTCTGTCTGTGTATCTGTTGTCTGTTTGTCCAGCTTGTTTGTACTGTACAGATCATCTGTCCATGTTTGTTCATTCATCTGCTTTGTAAACAGCTGTTCCTTTTTATTTGAGCTCAACAAACTTTTCTCTTTTCCTTTTCCTTTTGTATTTTCAGGTCATTTGATCAAGGTTTATTTGGGTTATAGATTTAAAAAGCATGCTTTCACTTGGGTTTCCAGCTGGTCAAAATGATGCTAAAATTGGTTAAACAAAATCCCTTGGGATGAGGAGAGATTGGACAAGACTTCAATTGACTGATAAAAAAGCAGCCACCTGGGGCTGGGGCATAAGCACCTGCCTTGCAAGCAGGCAGTCGTGAGTTCGATCCCTGGTACCGATAAAAACGAAAAAGACAAAAAAAAAAAAAAAAAAAAGCAGCCACCTGGTTACTTTAACCAGTTCTTATTCATTACTCAGAGGCCCCAATAATCTCCATAGCCTTATGGGAGACACTCCAACTAAAGTTATAAAAATATATTAAGGTTCTTGATGCTAATACAAAGGTTTCATATGGCTAGGAAAATTCATTATTGCTGGTCTTATGGTATACTCATGCCTTCAAATATAAAATTGGGATTGTTTATGATGACAAACATTTTCTTTCAAATCTAGACAACTGCCTTTTTCTTGTGCTCCAGCCAGGAGATTCAAGTCAAACCTACGTGAGATCACCAGTTAAATGATAATTTTTATAGCTTAAAAACAGTTTATAGCTGGGTATGGAGGCTCATGTCTGTAAAACCAGCATTTGGGAGGCTGAGGCAGGAGGATTGCTGCAAGTTCAAGACCAGCTGGGCTACAAACTGAGCCCAAGGCAAGCCCAAACTGCCTATCTAAAAAGAGAAAAAAACACCCACAAAAAAAGTTTCTAATCTGTCAGTCCTTCTGCTCAAAGTTTGTTTTTGCCTAAAAGGTGCCAAACCCCAAGGCATCATATACATAAAAACAATAACAAATATGCTAAAGTCCTTTTAGATTCCTTTTACCAGATCCACCAGATCTTTTCCAGAAAAAGGTTACACTGATGCATATTGAAGCCATAATAAATTATACTCAACTGGCCTTAAATGACACTGCAGCTGATCTCTCTCCTAAATAAAAAAGGTAAAATTAATAAAACAGGCTGTCCTCCAAAGTCAGATGGCATTAGACATTCTAAGAGCATAGAAGGTACTTATGCAACTATAAAAACTAAATGTTCAATGACAAATCAATGACATGTCAGTTTCTAAAATTCCCTGGACCTTATCTGTATCCTCCTTTTGGGAAGCCATTACTAAAACTGTACTCATAATTATCCTGTTGATTCTATTATTTGGCCCCTGCATACTTTGCCTTGTCTCCTCTAGACTTAAAGCTGTCTGCCTGCCCAACATGAAAATGCCTGCTGTCTACTTGAGGGCCATTAGTTAAAAGCTCTGCAGAGTATCCCTGACTGCTAAGCAGTTCAGCAACTTCCATCCCCTTCAGCCTAAAAAAGCCAGCCTAAAATCCATTACCCCTCACAGTAGTTTGGGTTATTTCTTCAGAGGGAAAAATGTTATAGGCAGCTGAGTCAGTTAAAAATATTACAGGCAACCAGAAAGGGCTAGGACCTCATAGGAGCCAGCACAGAGTCCATAATCTCCCAGACATGATTTAACTGTCAGACCTTACATTTCTCATGTTTCCCATCCTCTCCAGCTCAACCCCTAGACCAGAGACAAGCCCTACCTACCTACACTTTTACTTTTACCCTTTCAGAGCAGGGAATAATGGCTTCCTATAACTTCACCACTCCCAACTGCAAGCTCATTTTTCAGATTCTTCCTTACCATGGTCCTAATGGAATGATACATTCAAATCAAAGGCACCTTTCCATCTGCCTCTCCTGGTCCTTAAAGTATGATAGTGACCTGCCTCCTCATAGCACCTTGTCTTTTATTTCTCCAATCTAGGATGTGAGCGTTCAGCAATGAAAAACTCCTCGTCCTGGCAAAAACACTGGTACCAGCTTCTCCATGGGCATTAACC